TCCCCATTTTAATAATTTCTACTAGGTTGGAAACCACTTGGCAGAGTGAGTCTGTTTAAAATATTTTTAGAGAATGCATCAAGGAACCCAGCAGCGGGGGTGTGGCTTGGCGGGAGTGCTGGCCGCAACTGTAATCAGCCAAACGCAGGGCTTGGAACCTGGTGCAGGGACCAGGGAGGCAGCGTCAAGTTTGGCACACCCTAGGGCACACACAAATTGCCTTTTAAGTAACAAAATTTGGAGCTAATCAGTCACGTTGGTGATTTAACCATTCTATTTTGTATTGATAAAAGTGGGTATTCGGTGATAGGAGCCTGCGGGTGGGGGTGTCTCTCTTCAGACCCTCCCCTTCACCCCAGGGAGCACAATACCGGTAACATAGACGGAGGCTGGCAGCTCTCAGTGGCCCAGGAAAGCCATGTAGCTGAGAACGCAAGGGCTACTTGAAAGGTGTCCCAGGAGAGAATACCAGAATCCCAAGTCCTTGAGAGAGAGAAGGTGGGGGAGGAGAACTTGTAAAATCCTAACCATTTGGGGCCAGAGTCCCAGGCACTCTGCAGTGAGCATCACAGGGCAGAGACAAAGGGCAACGAATACCGGAGCTAGGGTGAAGAAAGAGACCCGCGATGGAAGGTGGAACATGCAGTAGTGGATTTGATCTAGCTGATGAAAACAAAGCCAGCCCACAGGTATGCAATGGGTTAAACTCTGCAGTGCAACTGTGTTCATCAGAGGGGGAAACTTCTTTTAACCTCGTCAGTCACATCTCAGCAAAGGTGTGGCAACATCTCGTCAAACTGGCGACTCTAGAGCTTTCATTCACACTTAGCATGGTGTTAGACTCGCTTGTAACAATTCATGTCCTGTCATACGTACGGCTTCACTTAACATGCACACCAAGTGACAGCACAGCCATTGGCTCCCAGGGTGATCGCCCCACAGGACAGAAGGCAATCCGTGCATGCAGTCAGTCCTAATCCCTCAGAAGGCAGCCTGTTCACTCAACGATTTACATAAAGAAGGCAGGACCCACCGACTGCTCTGCCAATCAAAACCTTCTTGCTGCATTATTTTTGTCATCATGAGATCTTCCCACTTTCGAATATTTGAATCCTGGCATGAAGATACAGTAGGTCTTCCCACTCCTGTTAGTCACCCCCCCCCAGGGCCTATGGATAACTGGGTGCCCCACGTGTTCAACACACACACCCTGCTCAGACACTGTCTGGCAAGGCTGAAACGGACAACTCAAACCTGTCTTGCTGGCCACACAGGGCAGCATTCTAGATCTTCTGATTGCACATGCTCGCTAAAGAACATGAGGGTTTGGGAGTTGTTTTGCTTCATTCTAAACCTTTGCGTTCATAGAATTGAATCTCTACTGTATGAGAAAACTGAGGCAAGCTTTTCCAATAAAGTTAGTCTTGGAATCTCACAGGGGCAGTTCTACCCTGTCCTATAGGGTTGCTGAATCACATTCGACTTGATGGACAGGAGTTTGGTTTGGGTTTTATATGAGAGCCCTAGTGGTGTCGTTGGTTGCGCCAGCGGCTACTAACCACAAGGTCTGTGTGAACCCACCAGCCACTCTCTGGAAAGGGGGAAGGGGGTGGGGGCAGGGCAGCCAGATGTGCTCACCTAAAAGATTCACAAGCTTGGGAAACCTATAGAGCCGCTCGAACTCAAATCGACTCCAGGGCTGGGGGTTTATTTGAGAGCAGATGTTGGTAAATGAGGGGCAGGGTCAACCCAAACTCCAACTCACTGGCAAGGAGTCAATTCCGACTCATACTGGCCCTATCGGGCAGAGAAGGGCTGCCCCCGTGACTCTTTATGAGGGTAAATTGTCTAGTCTTTCTCCTTCAGAGCAGCTGCTGCTGGCCTTATAGTTAGCAGCCGGCCTCCGAACGCTATCAATAGGCTTGGTAAACCATCAGTGCGCTCACCCCACTTTCCTCTCTTTCCTTCCACTTGCCTGGTGAAAAGGGATCCCCGCTCCTCATTCCATGAGCCTCAGGGGAGCAGACACTCCACGTTAGGGGCTATGTAGACGTGATGTCATGACCTACACAGAGAAGAGGAACCTGCTGCATAGAAAATACTGCAGATGCTCACCGGCCTAGTGCACCACATGTTGCTGCCAATTTAGCTGGGGTTCATGGCAACCCCATGTGACAGAGCAGAGCTGCCCCATTGTGATTTAAGGACTTGCCCACTGGTGGGTTCAAATCACCAACCTTTCGGCTAACAGCTGAATGTTTTAAGCACTGTGACACCAGGGCTCCCTTCCCTTCCATTTCCTTGCTAAAAAAGATGACAGGTGGCTTTCCTACACAGCATTTTAACAACCCAAGATTATAAATGACCTTGGAGAATGGTTTGTTAAAATTGATACTTGGTTCTTGTTAATATAGAACCACATGACCTTTCACCGCACCCCGGCCACTCCCGAGACCACCAGCACAGCACTCTTCAAATATGGTTTTCTAACCTGCTGTAAAGAATGTTGACGCTGCATTCAGAGCCATTTTTCCTCATTTGCACGAGTAGAAAAAGGCACTCTATAGAGGTATTTGAAATAAATTAAAACAGCAGCTATATTGAAACCTGCCTTGTAGACACAAAGCTGTAATTGGGGATATAGTTCACAGGTACTGTCTGCAACAAGGGAGGTGCTGTGCTAAATTAGATGTCTTAGAATAAGAGAGGACCCGCCTTTGTGAGGGGCAGGTGGAGGGTGGCGCTTTAGCTCCAGGCAGGATGATGCTGTCTCCTTCAACCAACAGCTAGGAGGGCACTCGGCTTTGGGGCTTTCTTCTTGAACAGGAAGCTATTTCAAGATACTCTTCAGAGTGAACCCCAAGTGGCTCTTTCCCCTCCACACAAGCTCACATGGAAGGGAATCCCTAGTGATAAAAGAAGTAGAGAAACCAAATGAGAGCCTTGCCCCGCCCTCCCCCCAACCCCCCACCAATAATTCAATTTGTTCAACTAATAGCTAGATGTGCTAAACACATATGCTGTTTGCCTGATTGATTCAAGGACTCATTCAACAAATATTTATCAAGCTCAAGCTTTGTGCCAGAAACCCATCTAGGTATTCAGGATACAATGGAGAACAAGAGACATTAATCCCAATTTCAAGTAGTTTACAGTTTTAGTAGATTAGATGGGCAAGAGATTAAACTAGTAGTTACTATGAAAAATAAAACCAGAACCATGGGGAAAACAGTAGAAGAATGGGGTAACTTACTTGGACACCTGATTGTACTTTGGGGATCCCTGGTTTTATGAGTAGTGTTGAATCTCAAAGGACCTCAAAGGGTCCTTTTTCTCCTATTAAATTCTCAAACTCACTGCCGTTGAATCAAACTCTCACTCATAGGGACCCTAGAGGAGAGCGTAGAATGGCCCCATAGGGCAAAAGCAAGCGACAGACTTGTTTCTTGTCCTTTGCTGTTTTCTTGTTTTAATCAGCACCTGCATCCACCATGGAAAATCTGCATGAGAAAAGGAGGCTGTCCTTTGGAGAAAACGTGTCTCCATATGTTCACACACAAGGGATTTTAAAAATAATTTTTAAAATTAAGGCGCTTACGTAACAGCACTTTTTAGTAGCTAAAGGCTTGCTTTAAAAGTAAAAGTTATTAATCCTCACAGGAATTTTGTCTCAGTAACTCACTTCTTTCCACCAACAGGGGAACCCTGCCTACGAGAAACACTTACGACCACTGTTACAAAGCAGGGGAGCCAAGCTATGAGGCATAGCCAACCGTACTTGAGAGGTACAACAGCCACCCCCCCCTCTGTGATAATGCTACTGTGGCAACAGACATAAAATGGTACTTTAAATTAGACTGTTTATGTACATTTTAAAAGAGTGGCCTTCCTTTTTGGGGACACATCTGAAGTTATTAAACGATGAAATGATCCTGTCATTTACTTGAAACAATCCAATGGGGTGTGTGAGTGTGTGTACATGTACAGGGAGAGAGTTGTTATTGAAACTGGCCCATGGGCACAGGGCATTGTGCAGCTTCCTGATAAAAACAGTGCATTATCCATCTGAAGTACCTGCCAGGGTTTGCTTTTAATCTAGCAGAAGTCAACAGTCTCTCTCGTGAGCCTATGTCTGGGTCTGTAGCACACACAGATTCTAGGCCTTCAAAGCCCACACACGCACTGTGCGCACACACTCCTTCCCTCCAAAGTTCCGCTACTGAATCTAAATAAGATGTAGGGTCTTACGCATGCAGCTAATAAGAATTTTTAAAACTCAACTCTCCCACAGTGAAAGTTATTGAAAATTCCAAAATGGACAGAAGTATCTCAGGTTGTCCATATGATCAAGCAGACGTTTTCCACGTATCACTTTCATTTCAAGTGACCATTAAACTGGGCTAGGAAAAGATCTCCAAAGTGTTTAAGGTTTTAAATTTGGAACTAACATGATTCCCTCTCCATACCTGTTTTTAACCCCCGTCATTGTACTTTGATTTCCTCTCCGCTAGCTCAGCAACTGATTGGCCTTTTTGGGTAACCATCAACTAATTTGCAAGAGACACCTTTTTAAAAGGATAACCTCGTATTAGCGTTTATGGATTTACTAAAACCCCTGCCACCTGTCAATAAGGGATTTTAACTGCAGGATGATGAGCATGGGATAACTACAGGTTCCTGGATACTGGTTATGTGACAAACCTCAAAAATAACTTTTCAGAGAGCCAGTGAACAAAGTGGACTTGGATCCACTCAATAAAATATATTGAATTCTAACCTCTGCACTTAGGAGTGTCAGCAGCTCAATGAAAGGTCAGACTGGAGTGGTGGCCCTGCTGGGAGGCGTTTCTGGGAAAAGGGCAAGACAGGAGCGGGTCTGGGAGCCCAGGACCATGAGAAATGCTCGGGGCTACCAGAGACTGGGAAGACGAGCAGGCTCTCCCCTGAACAGAGCGTAGCCCTCTCACATGCTGAATTTGGACTTCTAACCTCCAAACTGTGGAAAACTTCCTTTCAGCTCTGTAAAGCCACCCACTTTGTAGGATTTTGTGATTGTCTGTAAGACAGACAGCACTCTTCCAGAAAGAGCCTCTCAGACCCAGGCAGAGACTGCCTCGGAGCTCCCCGTGTTCCTTAGGAAACCAGGCAAGCATATGGCACGACTTCCTTTTAAACGGTGTTCTAGCAAGGTTCTAGGAAGGTTCAGTACAGTTGGCATAATCCTCCCGTTGAGTAATTTCCGGGAAACAGAATGGGTTATGTAAAATAAGACTGGTGAAATAAATAAGAGCACCTACATGGTTCAAACCGGTCCAGAACCTTCGTTCATTATGTTCTTTCTTCTGATCAGAAATAAGCTTAACTTTGAAAAAGAAAAACAAAACCTTTGTGAGACCACCCCCACCCCAATATATTCAAGTGGCTAACAAGTCCATTTGGTTCCATGTTTAGCCCAAAGGAGAATCAAGGTCATATTCAGAGCAGACAGCTGGTGGTTTATTGAAGAAAAATCTAGAATACTCAACTTACGTCCTGATTGGAAAAAAAAAAATTGTCCAACCACATGTTCACTATTTAAATAGGCACTCTTTTTGATAACGAATAATTCCAGCCTTTCTGCTAGCATGACACTGTAGCGTTCTGATCAACTTAAGTTTCCCAGGTTCCACTGAGACCTCTCAATCAAACACAAATGTGCTACAGACAGTATGCATGCACTGGAGCATAAAAAAATGCTTATTTTAGATGAGGATAATCACCCTCCCCCCAGTTAAATAATAATAATCAATCAATACAAACCTAATTTTCATAGTTCACTTTTTATTAGCTTTTTCCTGGTTGACCGTACACTTGAGAAATATATACTGCACCAGGCTTAAAAAGTAAGATTTCTACCACAGGGACATTTTGTATTCAGAATCCAATATAAATATTTCTATTCAGACATCTCCATGGCTACAGATATTTGGTTGCTTGATTTATATGCATAGAAAGAAACAGTTGTCCTAACTGCGAAGCGTAGTACTTGACAAGGACTTCGGACGATTGGGACTGCTGCCCTTCAGATGACCAGACTGCTCATTGGTCAGGAAACTAAGTCACCCTACATGATGATCTGATTTTTTTTCTCAAAGGCGTCAGGAATCCTTTTGCTTATCCTTTCATTGCTGCATTATTTTTGTCTGTTTTGTTTTGAAACCGTCTAGTTAAGTTAGGGGCCATTTAAGCAGAAATCATTGTAGCACTCTAATAAAAACAAAGCTCTGTTACAGGGTAGATTACATACCATAATGATTTCAGCCTTCTTTTTATAAAAAAGGTATCTGGAGACGGAACCGGCACATGCATACTCAGGAGGAGAGGAAACAGAACGTGGGGGAGTCTGCTAATGCCTTCCTGGCCCTCCATGCCTTCAAATAAATACAAATATTAAAAAAAAAAAAAAAAAGTCCCACACTGTCATTTTTTTTTTTAAAGCCATCTCTTCCACCTGCTCGAAAGCGCGCCTCCTGGCCCTGGTCCCCAGGCGGTGCTCAGTCGTCCGTCTTTCGGGCCAGCCTGCAGAAAGTCCAGTTGTGTTCCACTGTGTTCTCATTGGCCCGCTCACTCATGTGGTGCACTCGGGTGTTGCGGATCGTGAAGCCCTGCTTTGTAATGTACTCCATCAGGTGCACCCGCAGAGAGACTTCCTGGTGGTAATCACACGGTCCAAAAGTAAAGGAAACCTGGCAGTCTCTGGTGTCCATCATGTGCTTATTCCACTTGGTGAAGTAGTTGGAGATGCCTTCTAGTAAGGAGTGAACCTTCGTGGTGATGGTTAACTGGGTTATGATGACAGCCACTGGGTTGGAATATTTCGAAAGCTTCCGAGTACTAGATAACTCCACAACTTCTTCGAAAGTATCCATGGGATACAAAGGTTTAGGGTCATTGAGACACTGAATTAGGGGCTCAATCTGATAAAAATCGGCTTCTTTCCGAAGCAGGTCAAATTCCTTAAAGTCCAGGGGTAAGGTCAGCTCTGAAGTTCGTAAGAAGTTGAGGACATATCGGAAAAGAGGTCCATCTCGATCGATGAAGTAATTGCCTTGCGGGTCTCTAGCAGTGGGGAAGTCCCCCCCAAACATAGCGCCGAGCATGGAATCTGGGTAGCGGGTCAACGTAGTGAGAGACGTTGTATACAAGTGTCCACCTACATTTAAGGTGACTGGGTCAGTCATCTGAAACAGGGTTAGGAAATGATCAGTCATCTGAAATTTGGTTTTCAATCCTGACAAATTAAGAAAATTAATAGTAACGAGCAAAGCAAAACATTACTCCCAGCAGTACGGTATTTAGTTATCCTATGATGCTCGTGATGAAATCGCTTCACTTCAGTGATAAACCCACCCAGAAAAAGGGAATTGATACTCGCTTTCAATATCGAGGGGGGTAGCATAAATCCAATTCTTTAAAGTCTTAATCAAGTATCTGAGCTAGGTATTTCCGGAGCCATTTCATTTCAGGCCCAAGACAGACAGAATTCTCAAGTCAGAGCATGTTACTGTGGGAAGGGAAAAGCCAAACAGAAATATGCTCAGGTAAGTTTTCTCTGATTTAAGGAAAAAGACTTTGTTCAACTTAAGATAGAAGAAAAGTGATGGAAATATGGCTACTTTCAACATAATTTTCTTTTTCTCTCAAAAAAAAAAGGGAGGGAAAGTATGAAATTCATTTTAAAATAAAAAATTTCCAGGCTTGATGGGAAAATTCAGGAATGGTGAACGGTGATGGTTGAACACGGTGAGCACACTTAACGTCCTGGACCTGCACAGGTGACGACGTTAAAATGCCAAGCGCTTTTGTTCTCTGTTTACTTACTACAACTACAATAAAGGGGGTGGCGGGGGTTTGTCAGGATGGAAACACTGGTTTTGAACACTAAGTTAAAATGTACAGTTTAGTCGATATAATCTAGCTACAAAACCACCAGATGCTGAAGGCTAACAGCAGCTTTAACACTGCAGAAAGTGATGGGGCGTGAGCACATGGCATTTAACGTTGAGTCGTCTGTAGACGCCACTTGCTTTTGCTCTTTAACAGTCACATTTAAGGACAACCATTCAGACAGACCGACCTCAGGTGCTCTAGGCAGAGAAAAGATTTCTTTCCAAAAGGACAGAAAACATACAGCAGAGTACAAGTGGGACAAGAGGCAGCTTCTCAAGCAGATCACCTCCATCCCCACACCTGCAAGGCCCTTTCAGTAGTCCCTGTGCCATGATAGAAGGTTTTAGAAACAATACACTTTAAAGACCCAAAACTCTCCTCTCTCAAATAAAGGGTTATTATAAAAAAACTATCTGGTGAATTTATATGACGTTTAAATAAATACACCCCCAGAAAGGCACCCCAAGAATGCATCAAAAGAAATTAAACAGGTCCAGAGCCTCAAGAAACGGTGGGAAGGGGTGGGGGCAACATACAGCCGAGGGCGGGGCGCCATGGTCCACTGACTGCCCTCCTCACCTATTCCGGACCTGGGGGTACCCTGGGGTCTGCTCAGCTAAAGGGGCGGTGAAGGAGGGGCCCAAGAGGAGATGAGCGAGATTGTCGTGAAGCTGAAGCCCGTGCTTGCAAACGTCGAGACGAAGCCAAAAGGAAAGCAGGAAAGGAGAACTCTTCGGACAAGAAAAAGACAAGCCAAAAGAGAAAGGGAAGCAGAGGGAAAACAGGCTGAAGTAGCTAACCAGGGTAAATATCCAAATAAAGATTTACCTGCCGAAAATGGAGAAATGGAATACGAGGAGAGTCCAGCCTCTGATGAAGAAGCAGAAAAGAAGCCAAGTCTGGTTAATGTGTATACCATGTCTCATCAGCGGGCCCTGTTATCTAGCTCCCTTTTGTACAATCTAGAGGAATATTTTTTACTTAACTATTTTGTAAGCACAAGTATCGTAGCTCTAAAACATTTCTAAGGCGGAGGATATCCAACTTCGTTCCATTCTTTAAAAGTGTAAATGCTTATTTTTTAAGACGTGAAATCATTTACTGGTTGTTTATTTTTTGGTACGACCAGAATATAGTGAGATGTTGAATTGTGGGAAGAACTGGCTGTCTTGGGAGTGAACCTAACATTACATGGGATGGGGGAGAGTTTTTGTAGCCCTAGTACAAAACATACTTAATGGTAAGTTGGAATCACTGTCATGTGCATGTGGACGACTTGAACATTTAAAAGTTTGTTTCCATGTTTTCCTTTTTAAATAGAATTGTGTCTGAAAACCATCCTGCCATCCTGGCGTTCCTGTCGGAACTGTGTGCCTTCGGTAACCCCTATGGTCGTGGCCGTCCAGCTTCCCCGTCACTTTGTCATGTGCTGTGAAGGACTGGAACATTTGAGTGTATAGTGTGCCTGATATTAAACTGTGAATAAGTGGGACTTGAGATGTAACAGCTTATCAACATTTGAAGACAATGGTACTTAATAATCAACCTCTTTTTAAAACTTTGCCTCCAAATTAAAGCTGGAAAGTCATTGGAATTTAGAAACACATTGTATCGATATGCCATTTTAGGATTTTGGTACATGCATTTAAGAATTGTGGAAGAAAAAAAAAAGAATTGTGTACAACTTGTTCATAATGTCTCTGTACTGATCTCAAAACAACCACTAAAATGCCAGTTAACAAAAAAAAAATGAAACAAGTGAGATTATTCAAATGTATCATTTTCATTTCAATTATTTACCCCTAAGACAGGTAAAGAGAAAGAAGATGCACAAAGCCTTCAAAGCACATCTGCTCCAGGGACTCACCATATAGCCCCAGTCTCCATTATCCATCTGCTCCAGCAGTGCGTCTCTGGAAGCCCAGGTTCCAAGGGAGCTTCGGGAGGAGAAAAATAGACACGTGATCACGGATATAATGATGAAAATAAAAGCAGAAAGATTTTATCCCATCCAAGAGAGCAAGCTAAATGCCGAAACAATACCCTTCTCTTTGCTCAACTAAAATCTACACTAGCAGAGATTCAATTTGGGGAAGGACCTCCTATCTACCTACAGATTGGCAGTCTTTACAAAGACCAAGAACTATCCTGTGGCTAGAGGTGGAGGGAACTAAACCACTACCACTGAGTCTACTCCGATTCCCAGCAGCCTTACAGAGCTGCCCCTGTGGGTTTCTGAGACTGCAAATCTCATGTGAGCAGATGGCTTCATGGGTCTCAACCCCACCAATGCTCCTTAGAAGAGAATGAAGCACCTAGGAAATAAGCTAGCTGTTCAAATCCTACCTATCTTCTCTCAATATACCGTTTTTAGGATTTCCGTAGAATATGATCATTTGTACAACCCTATCCTGATCTTTTTCAAAAAGATCATGTAAGAGAAAGTTTCCATTAGCATTTCAGCCCTCCAAGCATTTCAGCCCTCCAAGCTTAGGCGTCTAAGTAAAGACATTAAAAATAATTCATCTCCGGAGGCATCACTCACTCTCCAAGAAGAATACATCAAAATAGGGCATTTGATACCATAGAAAAAGCACACATACTTTTAAATAATGTGTTTCACCTTTGCACAGTAATCCAACCACATGGAAAACAAACATACTTTCAGATAACAATGCATCTCACTTTGTACAATCATCAAAACACACTTTCAGTGCCAAATCATCAGAGCACAATTTAGGGCTAAAAGAACTTTGTAAATCTGGTTGAGAGTCCCTCAGCTGGCATTTTACGGAGCGAGCGCAGCACCTGCCTCAGACACTGATAAACGCCCAGATCCTAATGGTGCCCGTTTGAATTTATTTTTATTGACAACTCAAAAGCACTTAAACAATTTCCCAGCTACTGAATTGCTTTAGTCAGTTCCTTTCTCACACACTTCAGCTCCCCAATCAATGTGCAAAGCAAACTGCAGGGTAAATTTCAAAAGCTCTAGCAAGAGGCAGCACGGCAGCATGGCTTTCTCAGTATCTGTCCAGGAAAAGCATTTGCTTTTTCAACTCGGGCTTTGAGCAGCTCTAGTTTTCCCACTTTGAGAGGAATCTGGCACAGAATTCCCAGAACAGGCCCGGGCTATGGAAGATCACAAAGGCTCTTTCTCAAAAGGTCACTCAGGCATGTAGGGAACATTTGCATAGCACAGCAGGAGCTGAAATCAGAGCCTGAAGCATCTATTTCTCTACCTTGCAAAATTTTCAAAGCAAACAAGCTAAAATATGGACCAGTGGACTACGACAAGGAGTTCGGTTTTTATTCTCCACATTCAGCAATTGGCTATAGATAAGTCTCTACATGCTTTCACATGAGAAATAGAACAAATGTCAAACCCAGGGCTGTTGCCATAACCTCGCCTTCCTCCGACTGGCTTCACAAACATTCCTGGAAGTAAACAAAACCTATGGAAACAGGCGTGAAACAGGCATAACGGATTTGTCTTGCAAAGATCTAATTCAGTGATCATGATGAGCCAGATCTACAGCTGAATGATTTAAAAGGTCAGCCACTCAAGAGTTCTGGTAAACTGTTCATCTCTGGCATGACTCCCATCATCTAAAATATTCCCTCCGGATAGCCTGGAAAATAATTCGTTTCAGCCAACATTGTAGACCAAGGGATGGGGAGCCTCTGAGCAACATGGGTACACATTAGATGGGTAATTCTTGCCTTCATAGAGCTTGCAGTCAATGGAAAAAGACAACGTGTAACCACGGAAGTACAGAACAGAATTCGAAAGTGCTATCAACAGAGCTCTGCTGTTGTGGATTAAGTGTCGGGCTGCTAACCACGAGCTGCTAACCACGAGCAGTTGGCACCCACCACGAGGGAAAGATGGGCTGTCTGCTCATCTAAAGACTGACAGTCTCAGAGACCACTGGGGCAGTTCCGCTTTGCCCCATAGGGTGGCTGTGAGTCGAGTCAACTCCAGGGCAGTGGGTTGGGTTGGTTTTTGATAGGATAGAGGAGTCCTGATGACATCGTGGTTATCACTTGGCTGTGAAGCAGGAAGTAGACAGTTCACACCCACCAGGCCCTCCTCGGAGAAAGATACCGCAGCCTGCCTTACAAGCTCCATGGGGCAGTAGGGTTGCTATGAGTTGGTGTCAACCCGACAGCAGTGGGTCTGTGGTTTGTATAATCGATGGACCAAAGAAGCCTGTTAGAAGAAAAAGGAAAAAAAAAGATTCTAAATAAGAAAGCTGGGGGGAGGCAGGTCAGTGGGAAAGAAGCTCATTCAGAAGTAAGACAACCTGAGACGGGATTGGAATGAAGAAACAATGTTAAGTATAGGCAGGGTGTGAAAGCTTTTCCCACCACCACATCTGCGGCAGTGTAAGCCAGAGCATGAGCTCGGATTCCTAAGAAACAGAGCAGATGAAGTACCCAAGGCCCTGCGGCTGAGAATGAGCAAGTAAGAATTTGGGTTTTCTGACTCAGAGTCTAGATCTTTCTGTAAATTCTCTTTACGGGTAGAAACCAAAAGATCAGAATCTATGAAACATTAAGTTGAAGGGTCAACTTTAGCTTTCCTACAGCCACCTATCAAGGGAGAAAGACGAAACTTTCTACTCCTGTCAAGAGTTACAATCTCTGAAACCCAAAGGGACAGTTAGTTTTACCCTATCCTTTGGGGTCACTATGACTCAAACTGGACAACAGCAATAGGAGAGACAGTCATCTCTTAATACCTATCCACCCTAGCAGGGGGTTGCAGTATTTACAAATGTATTAGAAATTCGGTCTCATGTGAGTACAGGCTTATAAAAATTTCCCCAACACTCCTTTACCTCACCCCATACACAAGGACAAATTCAAGGTGGATCACAGACCTGGAGGTAAAACCCAAAACTATCAGGATCATCAGTGAAAACAATGGGACAAGGCTAAGAACCTTCATGAAGGGAATACATGGACTACCAGTAATCCTGAAGGATACACACCCAGAGGACGATAAAACAGGCATGTGGGACACCCCAGCCTGGGATCACGAGGTGTCGAAGGGGTCAGGTAGCAGGTATCAAGGGGGAAAAAAATCATATCATTGTGCATGAGGGGGAGTGCAGAGTGGGGATCCAAAGCCCATCTGTGGGCAATTGGACATCCCCTTACAGAAGGGTCACGGGGAGGAGATGAGCCAGTCAGGGTGCAGCGTAGCAATGATGAAACATACAACTCTCCTCTAGTTCTTTTTAAAAAAATCATTTTATTCGGGGCTCATACAACTCTTATCACAATCCATACATACATCAATTGTGACAAGCACATTTGTACATTTGTTGCCCTCATCATTCTCAAAATATTTGAGGGGAAAAATGAGGACCTAATGTCGGGGGTTTAAATGGAGAGAAAATGTTTTGAGAAACGATGTACAAATGCGCTTTACACAATTGATG